GGCCGATCTGTGACAATATGTACAGTATTTATTTATTTTGAGAGCTGTTACACCAGCAGTTGTCAGTTTCAGTCAAAGTCAGTGGCTTTGCTGGTCTTGAGAGTGGTTATTTTTCTCGAATTGTCTGCCATCGGATCAATTTTTGAAGTTTGGCTTGCCTTCTGTGCGAAGGACACATGCAATGCTACCTTTTGATTTGGCCACAGGAAGGTGTCTCAAAAGGCAGCATAATTATAGAACAACCTCACAGGTGAAACGGGAGCTATAGGCAACCTAGTAAGCAGTTCTCAAGGTTTTGGAACAGAGCCGTGGAGAGAGATGCTAGATGATGAAATGCTAGATGATTAAATTTTTTTCCACCAGAAAATGTAAAACATTTTGTGTAATATTTATTTTATTTATTCATTTATGTTGCACGATTCTTTGTATTCTCAAGGCAGATTGAAAGTCTAGGTCAAAAGATTATATTTTGTCAATGGAGGATAAATGTAAGCGGAGACTGCCAAACAAGGTCAGCTCCTGCCTGCATAAAATTCTCAGTATTAACTAGCATGCATATTACTAGCATACTGGCTGTTTATTAGTAGGGTACAACGGGGCTAAAGGTCCACCTTAAGAAATAAAATGTGCCATTCACTGCGCCTAAAATGTATAATTGCAGAAAAAATATATACGTTGTATTGAACATTAATGGAGCAACATAATTTGTGTGAAAATAAATAATTTAAGTTGTTTATTTTGTTTAAAAAATGTATGAATATAATGTATAGGTGTCATATCATATAAATGTATGAGGTGGCAAGAGGGGCCTTTTACCCCACACATGGGGTAAAAGGCACACGGTATTGATACAAATACTTCAGCTAAAATAATGTTTTTTTTTAATAATGTAAGTTAATACTTGTTCAGAACAATCACTTTAGCAAAGTTTGTACTATTTTCTGCTTATTTTGAAAAACAAAAATAAAATAATTATTTTTTTTCAATAAATATACTGTCATTAAAATTTGTTAATATAAAAAATATATTTTAAAATACATAAAATCGTTTTAATCATTTTAAGTAAAGATTATGAAAGTATTGAAGGAGATCCGATAATATTATATTTACTGTAGTAACAACAAATTATATTTTATTATTTGATATGATTAATATCAATATGATGGTTTCATTCTAAACATGGTGATCATCTCTAATATGGACACCCAACATAATATACGATATTTACCATGTAAATCTAACCATGTCATGTCAACAAATGGAAAAGTCAGCCATCTGTTAATTATCATGTTAATTACTGTGCGCCTTTAGCCCCAACAGCAGGGGCGCTTTTTACCCCAAATACCATACTTTTACATATTATTTCGTTATTAGAAAACTGTTACTTTAATTATCTTAAACAAAACTAAACATAATAAAGAAGACCTTTGTCTCAAAATATATGCATTCATTTTAGCGATTCTCGTTTGTTGCTTAAATCTACAACATTTTAAAAAACATAACATATTAGATCAAGTAAGCACAGAATCAACTTTGCACTGCTGCGCGCGATCGCGTCAAGGATCAGACAAAAATACACGTGCATCTTGAAAAGCAGATGTTTTGGAAAGTGATATGCCACGTTTTTGTGCCATCTAGTGGTTTAGAAGAAAATAATATCAAATGCGCCTTTTACCCCGGGACGCCTTTAGCCCTGCTGTACCCTACTTGTTTATAAAACACATATTGATGCCTTATTCTGCATGACCCATATTTAAACTTAACAACTACCTTATTAACAATTAATAAGCAGCAAAGTTGGAGTTTATTGAGGTAAAAGTTGTAGTTAATAGTTATTTAATAGTGAGATTTGGACCTTAAAATAAAGTGTGACCACAAACAAACGTGATTAATTAATTAATTAATATTTTTTTTAAATACTGATATAAAAAGTGTATCTTTAACAAGACATTGTCATATAATCAGTCAGTAATCACTGATTTCATTTGAAGTGCCTGAAGTACAAAAGCACACTGTTCATGGATCTAAAAATAGCACAGTAATAGCAGTACCCCTCCCCTCCACAAGCTACACAACATTTCATGTTAAATATAAAGTTATTTGAAGCAAGATTTTGGGCCAGTGAGATTTCAACAATCCAGGTTCAATAGAAAAATGGGACAAAATAGATTGCATGTCAATACTGAATGGCATTATGCATTTGGCAGGTGCTTTTATCTAAGGCAACTTACATTGTGTTGAAGTTACAGAGTTAAATCAGATAGACTTTATCATGCATTCCCTGAGAACTGATCCCATGACTTTGGTGTTCCTAGTGCCATGCTCTACCGTTTGACTGACAGGAATACATCTTATGCATTATGTACATCTTAGCAGTAGTGATGTTATTAGGGCAACCAAAACTAGGAATGCCAACTAGCAGTCAAATAGTTCAATGAATGGCTACATGCTGTGAGAAAGTGGAAACTTCACTAATTGCCCTAAAAATTACATGTTACTTTTTTTGGGGGGGGGAAACAGTAAAATGTTACCACCTCTATTATTCCTATTGTCTACATTTGCTCTGTGCACAAACTGTGTAAAAGTGTAAATCTATTATTTTTCTGCTTTATTTCTAAGACACTCTCATAAGGTTTTGTTTTGAATGAAAATAATCTGTCTGATTCCAGAGCTGCTGCAGTGTGGATGAGATTTTAATGAAGTGCCAGTGTGTGCATGTGTGACATGGAGACAGATCATGGTAAATCACAGCTCGATAGACTTCACTCTTAAATAATAGAGTAATGTCAAGTCTCTGAGGAACAGACCTTCCTCTGATATGGACATGCATTGTGTGTGTGTAGCTGTCTGTCTGTGGGGTGAGGGGGTTACAAGAAGTGAGAAAAACAGACACCCTCAGTCTAGACTAGACAGTCTACCACTTCTGATGCGGTAAGTTTCAGCCTGGCAGTTTTGTATTTGTGAACAAATGTGTGCCCACACTTTCCCAAATGATTCCACCCGCACTGCAAACTTTTTCTTTTTTCTGCAGAAGGTGAAATCATTAGAGAAAAACATAGAGATATCACTGCCAGATAGAAACATCAGAAAGCTGTGGTCTGCTTTGGTCTCAGCAGTTGGGGTGTATTTCCTCATGCAGAGATCAAAACGACTTCCTGATATTAAGAGTCCAAAATGAACACACTGCCACACCGGCCAAAGGTGAGTGAATTGAGAAAATTGATCCACCATAATATTTCTTACTTGCCATGATGCTGTAATAAACTGCATTATTGTGGGTTATAAAAAAAATATATATATATATATATATATATATATACAGGGGCATCTCATGCTTGACTGGCCAGCAAACTCACCAGACCGGTATTGTCAAGAGGAAAATGACAAAAAATGCAGATGAGCTGAAGGCCACTGTCAAAGAAACCTGGGCTTCCATACCACCTCAGCAGTGCCACAAACTGATCACCTCCATGCCACGCCGAATTGAGGCAGTAATTAAAGCAAAAGGAGCCCCTACCAAGTATTGAGTACATGTACAGTAAATGAACATACTTTCCAGAAGGCCAACAATTCACTAAAAATGTTTTTTTTATTGGTCTTATGAAGTATTCTAATTTGTTGAGATAGTGAATTGGTGGGTTTTTGTTAAATGTGAGCCAAAATCATCACAATTAAAAGAACCAAAGACTTAAACTATTTCAGTCTGTGTGCATTGAATTTATTTAATACACGAGTTTCACAATTTGAGTTGAATTACTGAAATGAACTTTTCCACAACATTCTAATTTATTGAGATGCACCTGTACACTCTTAAGGTGCAGTCACATTTACGTTTGTATGGTAAAATTCCACGGGCGAAATGCAGTCATGTTAATAGGAATCCATGCAATCGGGATTTCCTTGTGAGGGACACGTGACACTATTAGCGCGCTTACTGCATGACATGGGGACACCGGCACGATCACTGGCATTTTTTCCTGTTAAGAGTGGAAAAAAATACGGTGAAATTTTTGCTCTTGCAAATAAGAACAATACATCATTCGAAACTGTAAAGGGTGTACCTTTATTTGTGTACACTCACAATATCAACAAAATGTTGTGCTTTTGTAATATAAAGAAAAAAAAACATGATGCGCTTTCTGCCATCTCCATCTCTGTGAACTGAAGCCTCACAAAAATGAACCAAAACTCAGCATATAGGCTATTTGCCTCACAGACATAAGAAATATATATACCGAAAGCTTGAAATGTCTATTTTAAAATGAACCAATTCAAATCGGAAAGGAAAACTGATTATGTAATCCATATTAAAGGTGCATTTGAAGGCGAGTCCACTGTACTGCAGAGATGGTGAGTCAGAAACATCAGTTTTATCTTTGCAGCCAACACTGACTCAGAAAACACTAGTTTATTAATAAATAAATGTGTGCACTTGAGCGCGGAATAGGTCATATAAAGGCTCATTAAGGTTTAGTTCCCCACCCCTCAGTATTTATTTAAAGTGCCCCTATTATGCCTTTTCGAATATTACCTTTCATGCAGTGTGTAATGTAGCTGTATGTGAACATAAACTATCTGCAAAGTTGTGAAGCTGACATTGCACGATAAACAAAGTTATTGTCTATCAAAAAATAATTAGGCTCGCAATCGCCTAAACGAGTCGTCAGGAATTCGAATCTTATTCTGTTACGGCTGTACGTCACGAAGTAACACATTTGCATAATGTCCGCCCACATTCTACGTCACCAACTTGCCCACCCACAAACACAGTAAAATTTCCGTGTGATTAATATCATGTCAAGAAGACGCTGTATCCTACGCTGTGAGAGTAAATTTGTTTTATCACATCTTATAATTACCACAAACTTGTTAACACTTGACACTTACCACTGAGAAACATCCTGCTCCAGTCGTGCTTGCGAATCAGTCTCTTGTCAATCAGTCACTTCAACTGTTTCATCATCAGACTCCGGCTCGAATTGGTAAGGTACAATCCATACCATCTTTTCTATGTATTGACAAGTCTCCAGGGCTGTCATTCCGTCATGGCAATGGGCGTTTCGTTTCTGACACACGCTGTATGCGATAGACCAATCACAAAGGAGTGCGCCATCTGACCAATAACAGCAGTGAGGGCTCACAAAAAGGAGGGGTTTAGAGAGACTGATTCTTTGAACTGCTTCGCACAAGTCGTTTACGAATAATTTAGAAATGAGGTAAAATTAAATCTATTTTTTGGAGAAAACTAACATGTTTTTTGACCTTGCATGCATGTAAACCTGTTTTAGGAGACTCATTAAACAATATTAGCAACCTTAAAAATGGCATAATAGGGGCACTTTAAGTAATTAAATTAATGTAAATGTGCAATTAGTCAATTAATTACATGTTTAGTCGAGTACTAGTTGACTAGAAAAATCTTTAGTCAGGGGCAACCCTACTATAGTCCGTTGTTTGTCAAACACGCAAATTTGCAGAAGAACTGTTCACTATAAGGTTCTCTGGGGAAACAAAAATGGTTCTTCTGTGACATAGGTGTGAAAACCTCTTTTTGGAACATTTATTTTTATGGTACAGTAGCATTCTTAGAGTGCGTTTGAAACCTATAGATTTACCTCAGTTAATGTATGCATCTACCATAAAGTATGGAGTTTGTTTGACTGAAGGATGCTTTTCTACTACTGAGTATTACTATCTTGGTCAATCAATCAATCCTCGTGTTAGGATGGAGTTAGCTTGAGGAGAATGAGAGCCCATTGTTACATGAAGGTTAACTGCAAGTACGCCTTGTGACAAAACAATTGCGCAAATCAATTGGTATAATAATAAAGAGTGGCTAATAAAAGAACAAATGAATGCCAATGCAATGAACAAGTTAAAGCACAGACCTTAACCTCACTGAAATGTAATGAACTTAAGTAGTTAGTGAAATGAAAGCCCTTAAACATCACATGGCTGAGGCGGTTCTGTGAAGGGGATTAAGCAGAAATGTTTTCAAGCCAATGCAGGAGATTGATAGTTACTGTCTTTCAAGAATTGATTTCTGCTGACTGGATCAACACCTGCCATTGATTTTAGGGCATGCTTATTTTTTTTCCACAGCAGATTATAGAATTTGTGTTTGCTAAGGCAAGCATCACTATTATTAATGCTCATACTTATGGTGTTTTCCAAAACCATAATAACCCTAAAATCTTTCACCATTTGTGCAACAGATATGAATGCTATGTCAAATCATGTGACTCATGAGCCTGATCTCAGAGCAATTCTTACATATTTTACTAGGTAGCTAATTTGTATGTATTCATACAACCTCACCCGTACCAATTTGTACAATTTTTGAAAAAATGAAAGGGACCAGAATTTCAGAGAGACTTCCCGTTTCTTCAAAAAATTGAAATGTCTGGATTGATTGCATTAGATAACTGTGAATTGTTACATCTGAGAGCCTTTATGAATGTTTTTTAAAATAAAGATCACATTTTACAGATGCAAAGCTGCTCATAAACACAGCTTCACCAGTTGTACAGCAAAATTCTCCTCGCTGAAAGCAACTGAAACTGAAGTCACACTAAAGTCAGTAAAATTGTCTCAAAGGATTATGATAGATACAGCTGTCAGTCACTGATTGAAATGACAAAGACATTTTCTGCATTTCATCATGACCTTGACAAACCTTAATTAAATGCCTATTTGCCCAATGTAGCCAAGACTTAGAAATAACTTTAAAGTGCCCCTATTATGCCATTTTTAAGGTTCATAATATAGTTTTGGGAGTCTCCTACAACAGGTGTACTGTTACGCCCCGTCTAGGGGTAAAGGACGCAACATGAAAAGAGAGAGAGGAAGCGGGGATTCTTTTGAGGGTTTTTAATGAAACCAAAAAAATATATATAAAAAATACAATAAATCAAAATAAATAAATACATAAATAGGGAATTTCCTTCAGGAGTTGACCAGGCCAAAATAATAAACAAAACTTCCTTATTTTAAGACAGAGATAAAAAAGGTTACAATAAACAAAATGGCGTCAAACTCCTTACTTTCTCCCAACCCTCTATATTTACAATGATATACAACTATTTACAAGATCAGGCAAACAGAGTTAAAAGGAGAATCCAAATCCACGTCATAACAAGCAATGGGGTCAAAAACCGAACAGTTCCTGCTTACAAAATTCGTATCTCTTTCAAAGATCAAACAATCCTCACTCTAAGCAATCAAAGTTCAACTAAGAGAACATACAGCCAAAACCCAACAACTCTCTCTCTCTCCCCTTCTCCTCTACTCTTTTTTTTTATTTTATTTTTTTTTATTGCATAACAAGAACAATAACAACATACTATACAGAGGATCTCAATGTATTCAACTATGATCTATTACATTCATAATAGCATCAAAGGAAACAACAGAAAGAGAAAAAAAAGAGAGATAAAAAATATATATATACTGTATATATACGGGGAAAAAACTTACAAAAAGTTCCAAAAAGAAAAGGATTCAAAAATTCTATACATCCGTTTTGCTTTTTTTATTTCTTGCATCTTTTAGGTCCTCAATATAATGCTTAAGTTCAAATTTAAATAATATAATGTTAGGTTTATTATTATTCCATTTCTGATCTGTAAGGACCAAAAGTATAAAAATTTTACACCAATTATTAGGAACATTAAACAAAAATTAAACTTATGGTTAATGAGAGATCTATCATTAAAAGGAAGAATATTATTATCCAAAACTGAAGGCTTGTCACGTTTAGTGTATGCATCTCTTGCATTAGACGTTCCACAATCTATTATAAAAGAGGTGGATACTATATTGTTCAATTTCATCTTCTCCTCTACCCTGCTCTGCTCTGGAGAAAGGAAGTGACATCAGGGCTTTTAAGGTGTGCCTAGTTTTGAATGCACCAATCCAGATGGGCCAATCATTAGCCTGCAGGAGCCAATCAGCATCATACCTGGACACAAACACTTTCAAAACAAAAGAGAGACAGAAACGAGAAAATACAAAACAAAGGGTTGTAACATGTACATGCATGCAAGATCAAAAAACACTTTTTCTCATAATATACATTTTATTTCACCTCAGTTCTCAATGATTCATAAACGATTCATTCGAAGCAGTTCGAAGAGTCTCTCTAAAACCCTCCTTTTCGTGGGCCTACTCTACTCTGATTGGTTAGATGGCCTAGTCTTTTGTGATTGGTCTACTGTGTACAGCGCATGCTATAGTGTTTGTGGGCAGGTCAAGTTGTTTGCGGGCGGACAATGTAGAACATAGGAGATCATTATGTTGATTCTTTTTTTTTTTGAGAGACAATAACTTTATTTATTGTGCACTGTCTGCTTCACAACTTTGCAGATCTTTTACAGTACATTCACAGACAGCTACACTACATGCATAATAGCAGGGTTCTTTAAGCGGGGCACTTTAAGCAGGGTTCTTTAAGCAGGGCACTTTAAGCAGGGTTCAGAGATAGAAAACTTATCCAGTTTTTGTATAGCACAGACCTGCCAAAATCTTAGCAACCAATCTTCTTTCGAAACAGATGCTGTTTGTTTCTCTAAACAAAAATATCTCAATCTAAGACTCTATTATAACCAATTTAAGTACACAAATACCAATAATTGTCTTCTATTAGAGACATCAGGACAAATAGAAAGACATTTCTTTCTTTCTTTTTTGCAATTGAAACTTCTCCAGAACAATTTGGGAACAGCTGTATTCTCCAAAATCGACAGCCAAGCTAATCTCAGGTTTGTGAAATGTGATTATTGCTTCCATTTTCTACTGATTAAAGCCTGCGATGTGTGAAAAAGTGTGTTGAAGTTGAAGAGAAGCATGAACGGCTGCAGTTCCATTTGCAGAGCTGTAAAAATAAAGTGCAACACTTTGAGATAACAAGAGCTCTGTGAACTACTGGGTAGGAGAGGAATTAAGGGCTAATTAACTTCGATTGCTGTTGATGGTTTCTTATATTTCTAATGAAATATGAACTGACCAAATACTCAGTTTAAAGGCTCTGTGCAAATCCAAAGGCTGCCTTGCTGCCCAGTCAGTCAATGACTTAACCAAGGGTGTGGGTTTGATTTGGGTATCTGTCAGTGTGGGGTTGAGGGTTATCAATTTGAATAGCTCAGATATTGAATTCAAGTGCTTGAATTCATTTTGTTTATTAATTTTTAGAAACCTTGCACTTGTTCACTTTTAACAGTTTAACAAGTGTTAATAATTAAACATTCAACATCACCAGCATTACAAAGTGGGTGTTAGACATCAACAAGTAAGTATTTAATGACTGAAATGGTGATTCCATCGTAGAAATAGAACAGTGAGCTTATAAATTAATTATACATTAATTTTGATATAAATGTATGCCGCCTTCAAAAACTGACCAGATGAAGGCTGATTCGTAGACAATAAACTTCCAGTTTTTGTACACTGGCATTGTCTGGCCAAAAAAGCTCTCACTCATCACCTCGGCCAGCATGGTGGACGGCAGCAGAGTCTTGTGTGGAAGCTTCTCAGACTGTGCCACTAGTTAGGACCCAGAGAAAATTGCTCTGAGTCAAGCACAAAGAGGTCTGTGCTTGAAAACCTAAACTTCACAAGTACGACAATGCTGGACTAGCTTCCAGACATCTCTGAGTGTTCTCAAGTGGTCAACCAAAGCCTGGATGTGAACTCTATAGAAATGTTTGACTTGACCTAATGATTGCAGCTCACTCTCACAGATACATTGCTTTCAGTCTGTCAGAGCTTGACTGAATCTGAAAAGAAGAATGTAAGAAGCTGTCCACTTTCAGGTGGTCAGAAATGCAGTTTGCAGTTCGGACTCGAATGCAATGCAAAGGAGGGAAGTTTTCATTTTATAATGAAAATAAAGCTTATTATACAAAATATTTTACTTATCATATTTTTTCATCTTTCATTAAAAGAATAGTTCACCAAAAAATAAAAATGTGCTGAAAATGTACTCACCCTCAGGCCATCCAAGATGTAGATGACTTTTTTGTCCCTCTTTATATTAAGTGGCCTTAACTACTATGTACTTACATCAAAAAATAAGTACAATGTACTTATTGTGTTCATATTGTATTGCAAAACACTTTTGCTGCTATTGAGGCGGGAAACGAGTAAGGTTAGGGACAGGTTTGGTGGTATGGGTAGGTTTAAAGGTGGGTTAAGGTGTAAGGGATGGGTCAACAGTGTAATTATAAATGTAATAACAAATGAATTACAGATGTAATTACACGCAGGTATTTTTCAAATATAAGTACAATGTAAAACATGTATGTACACAACATGTATTGTTATATTGTTATAGTGCATTGTACCAAATTATTAACTTAAATGTAAGTACATAGTTGTTAAGGCCACTTAATATAAAGTGGGTCCGAGTTTTTTTCTTCATCAGAACAGATTTGGAGAATTGTAGCATTACATCACTTTGTGGATCATCCACTGTGAATTGGTGCTGTTAAAATAAGCGTTAAAACATCACAATATACCACAAGTATTCAAGACGACTACAGTTCATCAATTAACATATTGTGAAGTTAAAAGCTGCACGTTTGTAGGAAAAAAGTCCATCATTAAGACACTTGAACTTTACACAAAACTTCTGACCAAAATTCAAGTCCAGAATCCATAAATATGGACTTATTCCAGTGAAAGAGTCCACCCCTGTTGTCCTCTTGCATCAAAATCCATATTTGTTTAAAACTGTTTGGACTGTTTTCACTTGTAAAGACTGCTTGATCTGTGCATTATTCTTTCCTGATTAAGATGAGACAACATTTTCAATGGAAAAAGCAATCTCATGGAAAGCGGATGGAAACAATGGTTTGATGTTAAAATTGTCTTAATAATGGTGATGATAATTGTTTGCATGAAACCTTGAAAAACACTTTGATATTAACATTAAAAAAAATGTCAAAACTTCCAGAAGCACAAGAATCAGAATCGAGAGGAATTAACTGTTTTTAGTAAAAAAAAAAAAAAAAAGAAGATTCCTCTCGATTCTCATTGGATGGGGTATATTTAAATGTTTAAAGGGGTCATCGGATGCCCATTTTCCACAAGTTGATATGATTCTTTAGGGTCTTAATGAAAAGTCTATACAAACAGTATCCAAACAAGGGCGAGACGAGAGAGGTAATCCCTGGCAGGCAATAGAGTCCAGGGCAGGCAGAGATCAGACAAGACGAGGAAAACGGGCAATAATCAAGACACAGGTAATCCAGGCAAAGAACAAGACTAAACTATGAACTAGGGCAAACAAGGAATGGCTCCATAATGTGCTATCGGCTAACCGGCGATAAATGCAAACAATACTCGGCAGTCTGTAATGGTTGGAGTGTGGCTTATGTAGTGTGTGTGATTGGTTTCAGTTGAGCTTGTGATTAGTGCAAAGGAGAATGGGAAATGTAGTCCAAGGTGACGTGTATCAGTTTGTGTAGTGTGAGAGTCAATGTAATCGGAAGGCGTCCCCCCCCCCAAGGAGCGGTTTCCAGACGCTCCAAACACTATACAATCCAGGAGGGCAGTGGAGCGGAGGCGGAACAGGGGGAGGGATGGAGGGCCAGGTCCATGTAGAGGTGTAGTACCTTGGGACTTACGCATGACCGGCAGAGCAGGGAACCAAGGCAGAGCCAGGAGCCAAGGCGGAGCCCATGGAGCAGAGAGCCAAGGCGGAGCAGGAAGCCAGGGCGGAGCAGGCGAAGCAGGGAGCCAGGGCTGAGCAGGTGGAGCTGAGGACCACGACAGCAGAGCAGACGGGTCCGAATCTCCCCACGGCGGAGCAGAAGACCACCAGAGCAGGACAGAAGACAACCACAGCGGAGCAGATGGAACAGAAGACCACCAGACTGAAGCAGACAAAGCAGAAGACCACCACGGAGGAGCGGATGGAGCAGAAGAGCACCACACCAGAGCAGAAGGCCAGCAGAGCATAGCCGAAGACCACCACGGCGGAACAGACGGAGCTTTGGCCCACCAGAGCGTGTCGGCAGACAACCACGGTGGGCCAGAGTGATTAGAAACCCATGGCAGGGACTGGGGCCTAGGAAAAACTGAGACACATGAAACAGACAGAGCATTTATGGCCCCAAGGGCCGAGGCAGGGAACACAAAAAGTTAATATAGTCAAATAGTTTCCCTTGTGATAACTGAACTGCCAGACAGTTCATAAACAGGCCCACTGACTGGAACTGGACAGGCTGACAATTCACCCTCAGGCTCATTTGTTGAGACCGGACAGACAGACAATTCAAAATCAGATTTGACTGCAGAATTTAACAGACAGTTCACAATGGGATGCATTGACTGACACTGGATTGGCAGACAGGTCAGTGATTGAAGCTGGACAGGCAGACAACTCACACTCAGATCCATTAATTGAAACTGGAAAGACAGATGGTTCAAAATCAGACACATTAGTCGAAGCCAGATAAGCAGACAATTCAGAACAGGATGTATTAGCAGAGATAGGGTGAACAGACTTTTCAAAACCAAGAGCACTGACTGGAACTGAACTGACAAATAGCTCATGGACTGATACTGGGCAGGCAGACAGTACGACATCAGAATTGTCAATTGGATAGGAACAGACAGGTGATTCAACATCAGGCTCACTGAGGGAAACGAGGCAGGTAATTCAGAAACAGATTCCTGGGTTGATTCTGGATAGACTGACAGTTCATAATCAGATTCATTGGCGGCCACTGGACTGATAGACATTTCATTGAGTAAAACTAAACTGGCAGACAATTCAAAGTAAAACTCATTCGTTAATACAGGACAGACAGATAGTTCAAAATCAAACTCATTGACTGAAACTGAATAGACGGATGGTTCACTAATGGTCTGTTTGGCAACGACAGGGTTAACAGGGCATACAGAAAGTTAATTTAAGGTTTCCATGGCAGTGACAGGCATGGATGAGAGTTCCTGAATGGCCCTTGTAGCCGCAGCAGGACATTCAGGAAGTACACAGGCAACATCGTCGGGTGTGACAGACAAGACTGAGAGTTCAAAACCAGCTAATTCGGCTGGGTTGAGACAGGGCAATAGTTCATAATTGGTCTCCATGGCTGGTTCAGGACTGGCAGAGAGTTCACAGACGGCCTCCATAGCCGTGACAGGACAGGCAGAAAGTTCATATGTTGATACCAATGACAACTCTGGAGGTTCTGCAGCAGATGCCGCCACCTCTGGAGGTTCTACAGCAGTGCCATCAGGAAACAGGGAGAGTTCATTAACATTCTCCTTAACAGGACAGGTACATAGTTCGGCAAAGGTTCCTTCGACCACGACATGACAGGCTGAGAGTGCATGGTTGGGCGCCACCACTGTACAAGGAGCTGAAGCAAGCGCCACCGCATCAAGAGGTTCTGCAGCATACGCCGCCACCTCTGGAGAAATTGCAACCGACGCCATCGGCTCTGGAAACACAGCAGCGAGCGCCACTACCTCAGGAGGATCTGCAGCGTTAGCCGCCACCTCCGGAGAAATCACTGTGGAAGCCGCCGCCTCAGTTCTGTGGTGGTGTACGCAGCCCAGACACACCATAAAGCGAACCCCATCATGGGAAGCGTTTCAGACAGGGGACTTAGTTCAGGAACTGGAGGGCTAGAGTGAGTGGGTTTGGGGATACCAGCTGCGACAGCTGATACCAGCGGTGGATCCTCCATGCTAGATACCAGTCGGGAGTACAGACGAACTGACCTCAGATTTCTGGGTGCAGCAGACCGGAAGTAACCGGACTCTGGATGATCAGCTGTGATGTGACGTGACTCTGGACGAATAGCTGAGATGTGACATGACTCTGGACGAACAGCTGTGAAGTGACATGACTCTGGATGATCAGCTGTGATGTGACGTGACTCTGGATGATCAGCTGTGATGTGACGAGGCTCTGGCAGGTCAGCTGTGACGAGACGAGGCTCATGAAGATCAGCTGTGACTGGACTTGACTCAGGAATATCAGCTGTAACTTGACTGGACTCAGGAAGATCAGCTGTGACTTGACTTGACTCAAGACGATCAACTGTGATTTGACTTGATTCATGACGATCAACTGTGACTTGACTTGACTCATGAAGAACAACTGTG